TCAATTTGATTTCTAAAATTGGCACTTTTTTAAAACTTCAATTCAAATCAAAATGTCTATAAATTTTCTGTTCTTTTTCTTTTTCCAATTTTTTTTTAATTAAAATTTTATCGGGGTACATGCCCTATGTCTATAGTGCTGCAGCGGCCGCTTCTTGTTTTATGGCTGTTCAGGTATTGTTCTGTGTAGGCTCTCTCTGTGTGTGTCGCTGCTTATCTTTAATACGTGTGTCAGGATGCTTAAATATAATATTGAAGACAACATTAAATGAACTTAGGAGCAGAACACAGCCAACCACGACCAAACATCAACATATCATACACAACTTAAAGCGGTAACAGCTGTATCGTTCATACAGCATTTCGGACCAAGACAATAAGCCAAAACTCAGTCACATTGACGGTGGAAAGCCCGGCACGACCAGCAGAGGAAATCTACACATAATTTTAATTTTATTTGAACTGAGGGGGAATAAACCACTAAGATTGTTTAAAATATGGTACTTCCATGGGTTAAATATTTTAATAACACTTTAACATATTTATATATTTTTAATATTTTAACCCTCTTCGTGAGTTTAAATACTTGTTTGATACATTCTTAAAGCAGTATGAAAACACAAACACCTAATCTTCCTATCTGAAGGTGATTAAGGAACGAGAAAGAAGCCCACCACTGTAACACGCAATGATAAGTACAATATAAGGATTCATATTTCCTTTTCAGCGGCTCTGCCAGTCCCTTCGGGGTCCTGGCCTCTTACTCAGTTCAGTAATCATTTTTTCCACAGACGGCGCGACCCCTCGGAAGAGTGATGAGCCTATCGCAAGGTCGCTACCTAAACATAGGACACACAAGCACAGAATAAACGCATACACACACCAAGCATCCATGCCTTGAGTGGGATTCGAACCCACGATCCCAGCGTCCGAGCGTGTGAGAACAGTTGATGCCTTAGACCGCGCGGTTACAGCGACCGGGATCAGCATCCAAATTGGAGGCATAATTCAGTAGTAAAAGGCTTGTTATGTATCGCCTGATGATGGCTCCATAAGCGGAAATGCTGCGTCGTTGTGCGAGAAATGTGAGCGAGGGGTTCGTACATCATTGTGTTTGAGGGGAAAGCAAAACTCATATACAGAGCTGTAAGGAGGCCGTGAGCGGCCTCCGTAATCTAGGGGTAACGTTCCCACTTCATGACTCAAGGTACGCGGGTTCAAACCCGGCGGAGGTCGTGGGATTTTTAAGGGCGGAAAAATTCAAGGAACAAGTCCTCCGGGAGGGACTTTAAGCCGTTGGTCCCGTGTCGTAGCTTTACGGCACGTAAAAGTACCTCATGCCCCTAGGAGGCCTCTGAGCTAAATTAGGCCAAAAAGTTTCCCGCCCAAATAGTTTCCAATGCCTCCGATAGATGGGGAAGTATTAGATACCACTGCCAGAGGAGGGACGACCTCTCTGAGAGAAAGGGACTAATTATTATATACCACTGCCAAGTATAGGGTAGAAACCTCGCTGGCAGAAAGGGACTGATAGCGAACACCAGTATCGATAGGGGATGGAGACGGTAGAAATTAAAAGGGGGACGTACAATACTCTATCAGTCGCGGTGCATGGGGAAACCCACCCCCTCAATACTGAATGACTGAATCACTGAAGGAGGCCGTGACGTAGCGCAATATAAGCGAATTCGGTTGTACTGGCCCAACATTGATTCTAATGGTGCGATACTGTGATGACGGTAATGCAGCTTTGCCTTCCACAGGAACAGGTATACAACTATGGCGTGTCACGAAGGTGGTTACGCAGGCATTTACTTAATTAATTAGAGCTACAGCATTTCAGCATGCTACGTTTAATGACGTATATGGCCATGATGTCTTGCGTGTGTTACTAGCGGACATTAATGATATCTCAGTCCAAAATTTGAGCCATACGTCCAGTGACATGGGTGGGAATGACAAATGTTGAAGGATTATGAGAAAAGGTAACGATCTCTTTTGAGTAATTATCACATTGACTAGAGGGACGCGCAGCATAACGCAACAGGCAGAACAACCCGCCTCTTCGTTTACACATGCGCATAGAAGGGACCAGATCGCCTCTGTGGTCTAGTGGTCAGAGTTCCTGGCTACAGATCCAGAGGTTCGATTCCTGGCGCTACCAGATTTTCTGAGAAGTAGTGGGTCTGGAACGGGATCCACTCAGCTTCGTGAGGATACGAGGTAACTGAAGAGCTACTGGAATGGAAAAGTAGCGGCTCCGGTCTAGAAAACCGATTTTAACGGCTGTGGGAATCTGTTGCGCTGACCACGAGGCACCCTCTATCCCCCAGAATTTGGCACTAACTTCACCGACAAGCGGCAGTCGCTCGGTCGGTTATAGTTCGCTTCCGAACTAAATGCCACGGAGTTTGTTTATAGAAGGAACCGCATAGTAACGACCAAAAACCACGATACGGAAACACGGCAGTTTCCTAATTTATAATTTAAAACACCTGATGATGACCCTATAGGTCGAAACATATATTGAATAACTTTTAATAACTTAAAATCTATGTAGCATGTAACAGTTTTAAAGTGAATAGTTTTTAGTAAGCTTTGTAGAAAGACGTGCTGCACGTGAGACTGTGAAACCATTTGATATTATCCCTGCATTTGCCATTAGGAAGGGAAGCAAAATAGATCTCTCCCGCCACGATCTTTAGATCATCCCAAATAAGACTGTCACGTGCAGACACTCCGTAACGTGGCTGTGAATTCGTATGCCTCTATTTAACACCTTCTATTAATTTAATAGATTACATGTCATCAAATGGTACAGTAATTTCGGGTTAGGAATGAAGTGATGTCTGTAATTAGGTACTCTCCCGACATACGCCTAGCTGTAGTGAGGGACATAATCGAAGTCTCGCTCGGCACAGCCGGCCTTCCGCCGAGATCTGAACCGGGGTCGAGTAATGTTACAAGTACAGGGAGCGCAAGCGCCCTATTTATATCACGGCATATACTCATATTAATCATCGTGAGCAAGCCTCTTGGGCCGTCCGCGGCGCAGACGCATCCAACAAGCGACGCGAAACCACTGCCGCACAACCTGCCGCGGAGAGAAGCCGCGAGCGACTGACGGTATTCTCTGGCGGCGCGAGGCACACGGGAGCCGTATCAGCGGGCGCGCAACTACTACCTGCGTACCAACCACAAGTCTGGCAGTTCTCTGTTGATCGTACCACGGGCGTGTTCCGTGTCCCATTCCAGTGGATTGAAATACTTCTTCAGGTCATCTCACTTCGTGTCTACAAGTGTGCAGAGGAGCAGGAACCTACAATTTCCTGCCTTCTGTTCAAGTCTACAGTGAATTGAAATCACTACTGCTCGTTATCATCTGAGTGCTGTTTGCAGAGGAGTGCAAGATATAAAAGCAACAACAGCTCACCCAGCGACTGTGAGGTGTCTGTTTTTACGCTGGCAAATTAATTACAAGGCAGTGTACGTATATATATGTGTGTAAAGTGTTGAACAACTAATCAGTGGCTACCTCGCTGTGTTATGTCATACACTGTTTGCGAACCTGATTCAGCAAAAATTTACCCAAGACAATATTCAATAGTATCAGAATTTAATACACAAAGTAAATACAAGTGTGATTAATATGGACCGAGAAAATGTAGCAATTAAGATTATACAACAGAGTTCCCCATACAAAACACAAACTACAAGCATGATTTTTGTAACACGTATGGTCAGCTATCTGAGAAGAATCACATCAGCGAATGGCAGGGAAACCGGTCGCGATTTAAAACAATTAAACAATGTGTGAAGGGCTGAAATTTCCTGTTGTTTTGAACACTGAAGTACAGTGACTGGTGAATATGGGAAAACGGGGTTAGGACTTCTGAACCATATGATATATAAGATAGGATTTTTTATACTGTCATCTGGAAGCTTATATCTATCGGGTGATCAGTACTACCGATCTGACAGTTCGACAGTGATCCGCTTTCCACAGGGCTATACTGATGTAGGGTTTATTCCTGTACCTACATTGCTATGGAGTCGCTGAATTCATTACCAGACACTTCGACTTCTCCTTCGCCATCTTCAGTGATGGGAATAGCAGTGAATGAAGAATATTCTTTCGGTGAAGATGCTGTGACAGATTTTTCCGACCTCTTGTCAACAAGTTCCCTGTCTGACAACCTTAGCCACACGACCACAATGACAATGGCCTCACTAAACCTTGGTCCTGTCAGGGACCCTCTGTATATTGTAATTCCCATCACTATTCTGTATTCAGTTATCTTCTTCACGGGAATAGTGGGCAATGTAGTTACATGCATTGTCATAGCCCGTAACAAACACATGCACACAGCTACCAACTACTATTTGTTCAGCCTCGCTGTGTCAGACCTTCTCCTGCTGGTTTCGGGCCTTCCTCAGGAGATGTACTGTATTTGGTCTCGGTACCCGTATGTATTCGGTGAAATATTCTGTGTGCTACGAGGTCTCGCTGCCGAAACGTCGGCTAATGCCACGGTCCTGACCATCACGGCGTTCACAGTGGAACGCTATGTAGCCATCTGTCATCCCTTCCTGTCCCACACCATGTCTAAACTGTCGCGCGCTGTGAAGCTCATCCTTGTAATATGGATTGTGGCCCTTGCATTCGCAGTTCCTCAAGCTATTCAGTTCGGCATCGTGATGGGGAGTACCCCAGAGTTTGTGATGTGCACGGTCAAGACTGTGATATTCGCCCACTCGTTCGAGATATCGACCTTTCTGTTCTTCGTTATGCCAATGACACTTATCACAGTGCTGTATGCTTTGATTGGACTTCGGCTCAGGCGGTCCAACATGATGAAGAAGGATGCCGGGTCATTCAGCTGCAAGCATTTCTGTAGCTCCATGACTACAACAGTTCTACAGCAGCCATCACAGCGCCACTTGGAATCCGGGAACAGCCGGAGATCGAACTGCTGTCGGCACCATCAGAATCAGTGTTCTCGCAGAGTACTCAAAATGCTCGGTAAGTAAGCTTACCAACTCCAGTGCTTGAAGTAGAATTCGGGCCATATATGTAACCAGGCACTTCAGAACCTATTATTTCACCTCATATATAAAAACGTAAAGATTAATTTGATTGGTTCATCCTGGCCCGTAACACTAGCAATAGAATATAATATTATTAACACCGTCCAGTGTGTTTGATAAATGTTGTGTTTTTTAATCTCTAATCTTTAACATGTTTCGGTCAAAGCTACTGCTACTACTGCTATTAGTAGTAGTAGTAGTAGTAGTAGCAGCAGCAGCAGTAGCGGTTTCTGTGTGTATTGCTAATGTCCTTCTGAAGAAGGTCGCTAGACCGAAACATGGAAAGGATAAGAGATTAAAGAAAACACAACATTTATCAAACACACTGCACGGCGTTAATGATTTACACGTAAATTTTAAAAAATGCATAACTGCAGGTCAACCTACGAGTTATTTTGAATGGGTGTGAAATTCAGTGTCTGATATTAAAAGAAAAACATAGGTTCTGAGAGTCTGAGGAAACATCGTAACGTAAAAGAAATTAAAAGAATGTTGGAGCGAACTTCACAAGTCTTTACCATATAACGCTATTACGAAGATTAAACCGCGAGGGATGAGAGGGGAGGCACAGGGAGAGATGAGAAATGCATAAAAAAATGTAAAAGAAAGAGTCAGTTAGAAGACCTAGGCGTAGATGTGACTATTGTATGAAAATTGACCTTAAAGACATTGTAGAGAGATTTTACTTGGCGCAGAAGGACAAATGTTGAGCTCTTGCGTGTTCTGTACCTTGCGAGAAATCTTCCGAAAATTCAGGCGTCTACTGGCTCCCCAAGGAAGACTCTGCAGCAGGAAGTTGTTCCTTGAAGTGACTAATGTGAGGCTCCCGTGCAGCCTACACAAGGTTGTCTCTTACATTCATATCTTGTCCCATTGTTCCTCGGTTGTCTGTCATGACGCACAACGAATTCACATTTCACTGGTCCTGATATGCTGACATAAATTATAATACATCATCCAAGCTTGGCCATTGTCCTCCTTTATGCCCACAGTCATCTCGAATTGTACAAAAAAATCGTAGAAAATTTTGGTTCGAATTGCTCTTGAAAATAAGAAAACTGAAATGAAAACGGAGAACAGGGAATAACTAAACTGGATATTAGAGATAAAAATTGTCCGGATGCGAAATGAAGTTACGCAGGATTACATCTTATGATCGGCTTTGGTTGGCCTAGTATTTTTTTATTGCTAATGGGGTGGGACTAAGTCCCTTGTACTGCAGCCACTTCTGGCCTATTGTACCAGCCCCAGATGATAGGTGAGGGTGATTGTGGAGCAATTGAGGGAATGAAGATTGGCAGGAGAAACAGAAGTACTTGGAGAAAACCTGCCCCAGCGCCACTTTGTCCACCACAAATTCCACTTGACCAGACCTGGGATCGAACCCGGGTCGCCGCGGTGGGATGCCAGCGACTAACCGCTTGAGCTATGGCGTGGCCTTCGGCCGCAGTAACTGAGTATTACGGTTCCATTACTAGAGTGGCCGATCACATTGGCGACGCGGTGTAAGGCATGAGGTTCCCTCCCTACTGGAACGCTGGGGTCATGGGTTGGAATCCCACTCAAGGCATGGATGTCTGAGTTTATGCTGTGTTTGTGTTGTCCTCTATAGGTGGCAAACTTGCGTCGGGCTGATCCCCTATCCAAGGAGTCCTACCAACTGTCTAAGATTAAGAAAGTGAAATGAAACGAAGCGTTTCACGGATGCCTGTGCTCCAAGTGAGAGCAACAGGAACAAAGATAAATGGTTAGATGAATAGGCAGATAGATAGACTACCAGAATTAGTCCCACCCACTTCATCTCCTCGAAATGATATATCCTTTTTTTTTTTAATTTTCAGAATGCGGTAATTAAACTCATTTTAACGGAAATACCGGAAGTGGAAGGTTAAGGGGAGCAGATGTTCCCCTCCATCATGACTCCCCCCCCCAAATTATGTTTCAGCAGAGGTCTGTGAAGCCTACGGGCTTAATATTCGCTCCAGAGTTTGTTCATCGTAATTAAAACACTTCCGATAACTTTGACGCACGCGTCGGAAGCAAGCAGAACGTGCAAAAGCAAAGAAGGGGCTTTGGGCCCACTTGTTCCCACTTCAACATTCACAAACTTCCATACTCCATCACCTTGCCAATGATTTAAACTTAAAGTTCACTCCAAACAGACTTGTCGACCTATTTGCTTATGTAATGTGCTTTGGTATTTAAAGGTACGCTCAACATATTATTGCTAGTGGGGTGGGACTAAGTCCCTTGTACTGTGGCCACTTCAGGCCTATTGTACCAGCCCCAGATGATAGGAGCAATTGGTGGAATGAAGATTGGCAGGGGAAACCGAAGTACTCGGAGAAAACCCGCCCTAGTGCCACTTCGTCCACCACAAATCCCACTTGACCAGACCCGGGATCGAACCCGGGCCGCCTCGTTGGGAAGCCAGCGACTAACAGCTTGAGCTATGGCGCGGCCTTGCGCTCAACATAAAATATACATTAGTTGCCTATCCAGTGTTTCTACTTCGCTATACTTCACGCATCATGTCAGACGGAAAATTCAACATATTTTACGCTAGGTTTGTAACACTGCTGCTTCATAACGGGAGGCCACGGGAGCGGCTATCGACCTGTAATCAGGCATCCCTAACTCAGGTTTCTAGAGTCGTTCTCTGCTCTCACAGAATGCTAAGATATTCTCTGAACATAATATGTCAGCTTCCTTCTTCCCAGTCAATCATAATTATTTTTCAATTCGATATTAAAAACGTTATACGTGTATTCTCTAACGTATTTACTATCATCCAAATTGAATGGAATGCGCAGTTGATTTTCTCAGGAGGAATCTGCGATGAAGTGCGGATTTTATTCGGAAATGTTTATTTCAAGAATTTATGAAACTTCATAGACCTGAATAAGATATGTTTTTCGTAGGAGACACGACGTTGCTAGAGAACAGCAGTGATAATTGAGAGGAATCAAGTTAAATAATAAAGCTATTTCTGTGCCTAACTAAGTATCGACTCCTGAAGGCGTATGGGGTGTCAAGGTACAGCTCCATGCATTTTTGATCTCGACAATATATTGCAGTAAGAGAATAGCTTCATTCCGCGGCATCTTGACAGATAGGTTCCTGGTACAATATAACAGCACGTTAGAAGGACCACAGAGCCAATTCGAACGCTATGTCCCTCGCAGGAATCGAACCCCGTATCCCCACTTGTTCATCCCGGATATCAGTCACTATACTGATTGAGCTTCATCGGCTGCGATTAATACTATATGAAATATAATTGTTTCATTTATATATATAAAACAAATTACAAGTTCTCACGGCGGTGGCTATGAACAGCATAGTCTTCTGAGCTCAGCTTGCTTAGCTTACAGTTCGACACTGACGGTGCAGGCGATATATTCCTCCGAAACATCGGGATGTCTCCGAACTGCACGGTGTCATGACCCAAAAGACCGCACTCTTCATATGCTACGTATGCTACGAATTCGAGGGTTAGTTTTTTTTTATTGCTAGTGGGGTGGGACTAAGTCCCTTGTACTGCGGCCACTTCTGGCCTATTGTACCTGCCCCAGATGATAGGTGAGGGTGATTGTGGAGCAATTGGTGGAATGAAGATTGGCAGGGGAAACCGAAGTACTCGGAGAAAACCTGCTCCAGCGCCAATTTGTCCATCACAAATCCCACTTGACCAGACCCGGGATGGAACCCGGGCCGCCGCGGTGGGAAGCCAGCGACTACCCGCTTGAGCTATGGCGCGGCCCAAGTGTTTAGCTTACTCCATTTAATGACTACGTGAAATGCAAAGGTTGCATGAATCTTCAAGTTTGCTGTGAAATAGACCTACAGAATGCGAAAGACAAGGAATACGGTGTTAGAGACATATTTCAAAACACTATCACAAAATCAGTGTAGAGAGGGACAGAGAGAAAACACAAAAAATTTATCACTTCAGCCGATTTCAAAGTCACGATCTGATTGTGAGCCTTTCCGCCTGCACAGATTAACAGACCCACGCGGCCACTTTGAAAGCTGAAATGGAAAGGACGCGCAAGGAAGCTGTCAGAGCCTATTATAAATTCTCAGTTAAATTAGTTCCGGTACCAAATGCCGATCACAGTGGCCGCGCAGTCTAAGGCATGAACTGTCTTCGATCGCTCGAAAGTTAGGATCGTGGGTTCGAATCTCACTCAGAGCATGGATGTCTGCGTTTATTCTGTGTTTGTGTAGGTAGCGGTGCTGAGCCCCCGTCCAGGGAGTCCTACCGATTGTGTATAGGATTAAGAAACTGAGAAAAGAGGCCAAAATCCAACAAAAGGACCGTAGAGCCATAAGCAGACAGACAAAATACGAAATAGCTCACTCAAGAGAGTGGGTGTCCGGACAGAGATCTACCTACCTACCTACCCACCCACCTACCGAACCACATACCTACCCACGCACCCACCTACTTACCTACCTACCTATCTATGGCCCTACAGCCCTTTGTTGGTCTTCGGCCGCCTTTTCAGTTTCATAATCTTATACACAGTCAATAGGACTCCTTGGACAGGGATCAGCCCGTCGCAAGGCCGCTACATACACACAAAACAACATAAATACAGAATAAACGCACACAGACATGCATGCCTTGAGTGAGATTCAAACCCACGAACCAAACGTTTGAACGAGCGAAGACAGTTCACGCTTTAGACCGCGCGGCCACTGTGATCGGCCCGGACAGAGATTCGAACCCCAAATACTAATTGTCGATGCTAGAAAATATACCCCTGATATTCGGCAATTAACAGTAATTCAAGGAAAGGAGAAGATGAACAATTAAGTTCAACTAAAGTTCAATTTCTGTCCCAGTTTCTCGAGTTTCTTGTTCATTACAGTGCAGAGATCTGTGGCCGCATGTTACCAATAGCAACGGCTCGCTGAACACTTTGTGGG